GCGCGATGCGGCCCACGAAGGTGCCGTGTTTGGCCTCCTCGGAGACGGAGTAGTGGACCTGGCCGCTCCCGACCTTCCAGACTGCGAGGAGCAGAAGCGAGAGCAGCAGACGCCGGGATCCCGGGCCTCCTCGCCAAGAAAACACCATGTCAAGTACTCGTTTTATTGCTGTCAGAAGAGCTTGTTTGATATAAAGACGAACTACGGCATTGCCTGGAGTCTTTTAATCCAATTCCGCTGCATCCGCCATTGTTCGGCATTTAGAGACAGATACTGTTAGAGGAAAGTCTGGATCTTGGCTAGACAGAACTTCTTTGTAGACAGCGACATCAAGCGGCTCCGACAGGTAATAATACATGCATTCACTTACCTCCTCTATAATCGGGTTCTTTTAATCCAATATTTTCTTTTCCCTTATCCTACTTAATAGTGGATCTTTACCTTTATCAATTGTAGAGGCATTCATACCGTCTGGCTCCTTACATTAATTTCATTCCAGCTAGGGATCTCTTTCTTCATAAGGAAAGAAATTTCTTCCGAGCATTTTAAATATCTGTATCAATTAGCAAAAAATTTAATATGATCTAGACATGTCATGGATATCAGAGATAGAAAGCATGGTCCATACTTTTGTGTGGAAGAAATATGTTCATATTTATCTGATCACCCAAAATGTTTGTATATATTACTCTGGAATGAGAATTCTACCTTTCTATACTTTATCTTTCTTTTTAAGGATTATTAAGTTTCTGCTTTTCTATGATTAATGAATGCCAAATTTCCCAAACTTTTTTATACCAGTACAAGAAACCTTTTTATGTGTATTCCTTATAATACTCTTTATTATCTCCACAGCCTGTTAAAATAGGCCTGTCACATAAGACATTTTCCATCATAGATTTCTCTGCCAAAGCAAACTCTAGCAGTATTTTAGTGTTGGTCTTCTCTATTGGTTCTTCATCTTTCTGTTGCTCCAAAATATGAACGTTTTCCAAAGTTATGCCTTTAGCCTCTTATTTTTTAAATCTTTTTCCTTTAAATGTTTCTACTTCCATGCCAGCCTATTATTTGAAATATTCCTAAATCCAAATCTCCAACTCATTTCATTTATCTACTTTCATTTATCTACTTGACACCTTTACTGGTATACGCTAACAAGCATGCCTAGAAAACAAGATGAGTAACATTTTTAAAAGTCTGATCAATAATTACCCCCAAATCCAAATCTTTGAAAAATCACATTTTGTTTTTATAGTGTGTCCATTCTCCAAATTTACTTGTATGTATTTTTATGACTCATTTTCCATTGCCTGATATATTTAAAGTTTGCTTCTATCCCATCTCTCCTTCTGAGTGTCATAAATTCTGTCTTTATGAGAACAGTTTTTATGGAATTGCGCTAAAACCTCTAGTGAGCTTACCATTCTAGTGAACTAAGTGCCAAGACATTAGACTCACAATCTGAGAGATCCAATATGTGCCTATACACCAGTTTTTCCAGTATTTTCTCCAAGTATTTTTCAATATGAATTATATTTTACAGAAAAGACCATGTCTCTTTCTCAACACACACTTTGTTCAAGAGGTTTCTTCTATTCTCTCATCTTTGTCTGTCAAAATCCTAGTCACCCTTCAAAGTCCACCTCAAAAGTTAGTTATCCATTCATTCGTCTTAAATGCCTCAATAGAAGGTGTGATTAAGCTCTCTTTGGAATTCATATAGTAGCAATTCTCAAGGGAGAAGAGTTTTCAAATAACTCATGATCTCCCCCCCTCACTTACTCAAGATTCTGGCTTATTTGAAATAGTCTCAAAGGTGATTACGATTTTAAAAACAATTTTATTCAATGAGATCTGTCTTAATGTATTTCATTGAAATCTCTCTAGAGGTGCTTATCACTGACCTTTTATTCTAGTTATTTTGGGACAACAAATGATTCCTTTTGTTACAATCAGAAAAGACTTCATAATGATAGATTAGCCAACATCCTTTACATCCTTTACATTTTCTTGGGAGGTTAGAGTTTTTCATAAATTTGGCAGTAACTAAAGATTTTTAATTTTTAAAACTTAAGTCAGCACCACATATAGATTTACTCAAGTTCCTAGCAATCCAGATGTGTGAGAATTTGATTAACATGTAATCACAGTAATATTTCCACTAGCTACAGCTAATAAACAATAAATGTATTGAAAATCATTACATAAACACAAGTAATATGGAAAAGGGGAATAAGAACATTTTCTGTGAAACTACTTACATTTGTCCTCTCTTGATTTACTCAAAGACCATCTCTACAGTTCATGCTAAGTAATGAGCAAGATTATGTAAAGAAAATAGCATTACTCAATATAGCTGTGAGAACTTTTTACCAACAAAAATTCCATAACCTTAATATGTCAGAGTTTGAATTTCTAAAAAATAAATTACCTTAAAAAATTAATAATAGTTGGTGAATAAAGATTGGAGTGTGGAGGAGGATTCTTTGTCAAATTTCTAGTACTTCCTCACCAAAAGCAGAATTTTTTAAATTTCTTAAAATATGCTAGAAAAGTAGTTTTTAAAATTTATGTATTTAAGAATAAATGCAATAAAAACAGAATTACAATCACCATCATCAAAAGTCTAGAATACTTATGTTTTTCTACAAAAACGAGAGTGCATATTTAACATAAATATAATCTAAGATAATGAAATAGTGCAAATAAAGCAATAACATTAAAAATATAATAGTTATATATAAAGCTATCAACTAAAAATAGAATAAATTATGTAAGAATATTTAAGTAGAAAACCTAAATAATGGTGTTTTTAAATTGTTGAAAATAAGATTTTTTTAGACTCACGTTGTCTGTAGATTTGGGACCCTGAGGAAGGCTGGGGCTAAAAGCTATGAGGTCGGTCTTGGGCGGCCCCTCCCCAGAGCACGCCCTCTGCTGCCTCTGCCTCCTCTGCTGTGAATACGACCAGCTCTCCACCGCGCTGGAGCACACCAGCCTGGGCTTCCCCGGCCCGCACTCGCCCTCGGTGGGCGGCGCCGAGCACCTCAGCGCCGTGTACAGCAGCAGCGTGAGCACCAACAGGCTGGACACAGCGCAGATGGCGATAATCAGGTACACGTTGACATCCACCAGAGTCACCTCTGGGTCGGTGGTGCCCTTCGACGCCCGCGACGAGGCCTTAGGCGCCTGGCCGCTCTCTACCAGGGACAGTAGCACGGTGGCCGTGGCCGTCAGCGCGGGCTCGCCATGGTCCTTCACCAGCACCAGCAGGCGCTGGCGCGGCAAGTCCGCCTCGTCCAGGGCGCGAGTCGTGC